AGTTACGGAAAATTAATGAACACACGGAGACGTAACAATACGATTGTTAACAACCGGTTCGTGGAGGTCATTAAATTCTAAGAACAGGTTCGTGTGAACCGGCTGAATCCCACCACTGCCTAGGCCCTATTCTCAAGAGAATAGCTCTTGCAATATGTGGTGATAAACAGTTGTGTATTTATATTTAGCTCTGTTGTAGCCATCCATGGCAAATTTACTGGTAATCTTGTTACATTCACAGTTAAAAATAAATTCTGATATAAGATTAACATCAAATTAGTTGTGTCCAAATAACTTTCGAACATCCTTGTTTGATGATAATTTGATCCATATGCCAAAAGAAAAACGTATAAAGAAGAAGAACAGTGCTTTTGAATAATGTAAAGGTACTTAAAGTTTAAGATTTAATGTTATATGTGGAAAAGCTGAGAAGTATATATTTTAAGTTGTTTTTTATAAACCCTTCTTTGCAGTTCCTCCAAACATATCACTAACAAAGATCAGATATTTGTTCATGGAAAATTTTTATACTATTCTAATTTATTGTAAAAAAGAATAATTACTTACATGTAGATTTTAAAATATAGTATTTATGTGGATTACATGTGAGTAACCCTTCAAGTAACCATAACAGGGATGTTAAACATTTTCCATTATATATTTTCCAACCACAACAGTTAATGTCAGCATATTTTTATCGTTGCTATTTTTGTATCTTATTTACATGTGTAATTCGTATAAAAAACGTTTGTGCGTTTTAACATTTTTTAAATATGTCATTTACATGAAATAAATTCTTTAAAGCAGTATTTTAGTATTTACAACAATTCTAATCACACGAGAACAGAAAGACTCGGCAGTATCTTTTTGTTGTGCCATCTAGCTTTTGATGAATTACAATATAATGAATCCCCATTGAGTTCTAAACTTTTCTTAGATAAACAGTAGTAATCCTATCATCATAATGTAGCAACATAAATTTTTATCAGAAACTGTGTTTTCAAGCTTATTACACCGCGTATTTCTTTCTTATGGTTTCCTTTTATTGGGGCTTGTACTTTTGAAAGAGATAATAAACTTGTGCAGCTCATAACACTCGATAACAAGGGTGAATAGCTAACAGGATATAAATTTTGTATGACCATTCCAGGTTTGTATCTAATGGCTGGGTAGTCTCATAAAGTATTTTGTACGATCTAACAATCCTCATTTTTCTTCGAGCCTATGAGATTCAACAAATTTAGGGGATTAGCACCTCACGTGAATTGCGAAGGAAGAATTAGGTCAAGGATAAGAAGATCATTAACGTAGGTATATTTTCGTAACATATATAGATGTATATAAAATGTTCTCTTCGCCTGGTACACAACTGTAGCATAAGTTGCATGTTTGAATGGGATGACGATTAACAAAGCTTGTATTATTTGGTTTTCGAGTTAGTTAAATACATTTGGTTTAAAGTTTTCAACATGTAATAAATATATTTGGAACACTTCATAGAATGTTTCAAGATTGAAAATGTAACTCCTTTAGATATTTAAGTGGATTCGGTAAAAGTAACGTATTATAAGTAAAACTAGTACTTAAACTTAAAGGCTGATCATTAAACTTACAAATGGATTGATCTGGGCTGAAGCAAAACTGGGGATGTAATGGCAAGTTAGAGGATTGGCGTTTTAGGTATCTCCCTCTATTATAGGATTGAGATCGTCATATTAAAACTATTTACAATACGTAAATCAGTAAGTCGTGACAACTGCAACCTATAAAAAGTTGTGATTGTACGTCACGTAACAAAACTAAATTTTGACACTGTTTGGCGTCACGAAGCTAGTGTGACACCACCGAAAATAGGAGTTGTCAAATTACACAGGCCTGTGAATTTAAACTTCATAAAAGTTGTTTTGGTTTTAATAACGTATTTTCCATATTTCAGCTATGCAAGTTTCGAAAATAGCATTCATCTTTTTCTATCACGTAAGGATTTTTTATAAATCGGGAAGAAAATAAAACTTGCATAGATCAAGTTTACCACAAATACAAAAGAATATGTTTGGATCATTTACACAACTTCTTGTTGCCATAGCGACGAAAAGATAATATTGAAAATAATAAAATAATGTCGGCGTGCTTACACAAACAAATACTACCCAGAAATGACTCGTTATATCTGTTAGCCGTTTATATGCTAGTGGTGGGTTTTAGAACGATCGACAAGACTCTCACATCGCGATTGGTCTAGAGAAATATATAGCCAGTGGTTGTCAATATCTTAAACATAACAAAGTGTGACTCGATTTCAATGAAAAAGATTCATGTATGTAAAAGTACATATGACGTTTTAGGAAAAATCTGGACGTGGTGAAAAAAAAATGGATATCATTTTGCGGATTCAGCGTACAGAAATTACTGTAGAATATTTAAAAACCGTTATGAACAAGTTCTGGTTAATGAAAATGAAAGTTTAAGATAAAATAATTCCAATTGTTCAGTCGTTATATTCTGCATCTCTACCATAGCTTTATTCATGCGTAAATGCATTGTTGTTTAAAATGCGCCAAAATGAAAATGTTAGGTGTCGCTATGATTTAACCTAAAACAAAAAACGAGGAAAAGCTATCATCAAGCTTGGATATTTTTCTCAATAGGTCAAACGAAACACATTTAAAATTAAATATTCAATGAATAACACAGTGAACGTTTTATGGACGTTCATGACTGTGTATGGCCACTTCCTCTTGTGGGCTAAACTGAAATGAATGATTTTTGTTTTTCTAAAAATATCATCGCTTCACTGTCATGTTTCTCGATTTTTTACTTCGACATTCAGAAGTCAGGTTGTTACAAAATCAGCTGTGCATGTAAGTCTAATTGGATGATGTGAATCAGACCGCATGGCGAAAAAGTTTGATAATGATTAGTTCAGGCGGAAATGAAGAATCGGTGAACGGCAGAATGAAACGAATAACCTTAGCTATGATCATCATTGTACATTCACAGATAGTTATGCTAACTTCTTCTGGTAATTATTAGGTTGTAAAGAAATTAATGTCGCTATTTTTTAGATGAAAAAACTCGAACAACTTGTATATCAAAACAAAACATTTATTAAATGAAAAAGTCTCCATTCTTATCAATGATGTTTTTCCATCTTACAACCAGGTTGTTAATGCCCTGATTAAAGACATCACTTGGCTTTGAAGCAACAAACATGTCGATGTCCTCTTTA